CTGTAAACAAAGAGAAGAAGTCAATCCTTGCTCACTTTAACTGAGAAATGTCAAGTGTGGGTTCTGCCTGCTGGCTGGGGCAGCAGGCTCCTGAAAATAAACAAACGCTGCTCCTGAGACTGGAGCCCTGCCTCCTGCTGCAACCTTTGCTCAAGGGGGTAAAGGACTGGCCCGGCGCCACTGCTGGGACATCTAGTGTCAGTGACTGCCTTCGTCTTGGGCTGTGATCTAGATCACGACAGGAGTCAAGTCTTAGGTAACAATAACACTTAGGGAACATCCTCCACTCAGGGGGTGTCTTTGTCCAAAAAACTCTGAATGTACTGTCAGGAACTAGCTTCTCTTTTTTTTTGTAACGGTGCAGAAACCAAGAGTTGTTATACACGGGCCCTTGACCACCATCAGGTCACTTGGTTAGTCATTCAGTCCAGGGGTGTTTGCCAATGGATTGGTGAAGAAAAGGCATGAATTATTGGCTGCTTGTTGTCACATTCCTTCCCAGCGGATCCTCTCTCTGCACCACTGCATCCCCACCTACACTGCTTCTCCTGAGAAGTGTTTCCCACTTTAGTAGGACTCGCCCATTTCTTCAACACCCCAGGTATTGAACATGGCCAGGGAATGAGGCATCGCAAAGAAAGGAATTTTCCAGACAGCTGAAAATTACCCCTCTCTTAAATTTTATGTTTAAAACTGTTTTCAAACAGAAAGTTGTCTAAAGTGTACTGCACATGCCCCTGTCTTCTTAAATAAAGACTCTAAAGCATACTTTGATGTGTGTGTTTTTTTAAGAGAGTCCTACTTATCAATAATACCTATAGCTCTATAATCATCAAAGGCTTCTAAAGTCCATGATAGATCACACCCATACCAGGTGAGCCCCAACTGCTATGCTTTTGCTTCTTTTATTTGTTTTTAAATAGTTTTCTTCTTCTTGTTAAGCTGTAAGATATCACTTTCCTCCCAGTTTACTCATTTGCTGTGGAATCGACAACATCTATTAGGTCGGCTTAATATGCTGTGAGACATCAAGAAGAGACAATCTCTCTTTTTGTCAGCTGGGGTCTTCTAAGTTGCTGTGTGCTGTGAAATCAGATGACTGAACTTATTAAAATTGTACATAGACAAGAGAAGGAAGCTTTGAGTGAAAGATTTAGGGCATCTCCTGTAGTTCAAACATAATATCCTATTCTTATTCCACAGAAGATTTAAGTAGCTTAGGAAATACACAAAGCAAACTTACAACTAATCGTTATCATTCATCATCATTGTGATGGTAAGTAATTAAATGAGGACAAGGAGGACCAGGAGAGGAACAAATGAAGCCAGGGTGACATGGTCTAGGAGGTCCCACCCACCTGCCAGGGGTGGACACCTGGGTTAAGTCCAAGCTTTCTACGCCTCTTGTATTAAAAAGAGGGGGTGGGGGGTGACTTTGTTTTTAATTTGTGGGTTTTGTTCCTCTTATTTTAGTGTTCACAGTTGTGTTTCAGTTTGCATTTGATGTATATCTGAACCCTTGAAAGTGTCTGTTGCCCCTCTCTGCCTGGACCCCGTGCTTTATTATTGAAGGGCCGTGGGCAGAAATCCAGGTAACGCTCTTCCCATCTCTCTGTGGCCACATCCCTGACTGGGGAAGGTGGGCCCCACTCTGTTTCCCTGAGTCAAGTAGAACTTGTCAAATGCAGGGAAGGCACCGGTTTATCAACTTGCCTTTTCAAATAAACACGTCAAAAGGGTCGTGAAGCGTGAGGCCTGTGGTTAACGGAGAATACCTAAGTAGGGACTCGAGTTTCATTCAAGTGGAGCTGGAATGTGTGTAAATTTGACTAGTCCCAGAAGAGAAGGCAGAGGGAATCTTTAGAGCTTGACAAGGAAAGGTTTGGATCCTTTTGAAAAGAATTTCAAGGCTCTTAGCGTTGCATAAAATTGCTTCCCTTGAAAAACTGTCGAGCTATCCCTGAGGCTGAGGTCTAGAGGGTATTTTCCAGAAGCACTAATTCAGGTGGCCTCCCGTTTGGGGGTTAATTCTTGGTTAACAAAGCCAAATCCATGTACTTCCTAAAGCACAATTATGTTCCTACATGTGGTATGTCATTTGGCATTTCGTTATTAGGACAAGTGGTTGAGCATGAATCGTATTTGCTGATTGCCACTGGAGTCAGGGCAGAAAGCAGTTGGCCACCAGCAGTGATACCCAGTGACTACACTGACAATTGTGTAGAGGAAAACTATTAATTAATTCCTGAATGCTGATTTTCAAAACAAACAAACAAACAAAAAAACATTGCAAATAACTAACTGGAAGCATGGACATTTTGGCGTCCTGATCTAACACTGTAAAAAATTATACTTTAAGTCATGTAGAGTTATGATTACTGTAAATATCATGTGTCAAATGCCTTTCTTTCATTAAATCCCTAATGTGCTATTATAAATTGTCCTGATTAAACATGTTTAATGTTAGAAAAAAGATGCTTTTGCATGCCTGGATGTGATAAATTATAGCACTGTAACTATAAAAGATGACTGTTGGATATTAAAAATGGTGAGCTCTGAAAGCACGATGTTACATGAACTGATGAGAAATGCAAACTCCTCTGCTTGGACTTGAATCCTGTTATCAGTCCATGGATTATCCTAATTATGGACTTTCTCCTTCCCTCCTTCCCACCATGCCACCCAGAAGTTCCCGAGGTTGCTTTTCTCATCCATGTTTGCATGGTTGTCTTCTGCTGATTGCTTTAGTTTTCTTAACTTTTCTCATCAAGCCCTATTTATTTGTTCATTCTGCCCCCATATAAAAACAAAAACAAAAACAAAACACACACACACACACAAAACACACACACACACACAAAACAAACAAACAAACAAACAAAAAAGCAAACTTTCTTTTTTCTTGGTCCAAAAGTCCCCTGTCAAGGATAGAGAGTGAGAAATAGACAGGGGGTCATTTAGCGGACAGGCATGAAAGGATACAGAAGAAAGCGACTGAATTCACACCTGCAGACTCTCAGAGGCTGCAAGTTCAGTGCCAGAACCAGCTGTCAGGTGTGTGCGCCTGCTTGGCTGAGGGCAGAGAACCATGCTGACACACCTGCTGCTCCAGCTAGCTGTGGGCAGGCTGTTGCTTGGCTTTCTCTTTAAAAGACTCAGTCTGAGGACGCTGGCAAACCCTGGCTACTTTTGGTGCTATTTTGGTCCATAGGAGGCATAGTTCCTGACAGTGGTCGTCCTTCCTGCTTCGCTGGCTCTTCCTGGTGGGTTTACTCCGTCTTCAGGTTTCAGAGCCTGACTGTGTTCGGGAACTGTCCCCTCATGAGCTGCAGTTAGTAACTTCGAGGGCCTTCCAACAGGATGCAGAGGTCCTCACGAGCCTCCTGGCGTCCCCAAGTACCTCCTGCCTCTGGACACATCTCCCAAAACCCAAGCTCCTAGAGGGTATGTTGTCACGGGGACTCACGCACGGCTTGGGGAAGTAGTGGGAATGCCGGGGAAAGGACCACATTGCTCTTTATCTCCTCGGTTCTACATAGCTCGCTGTTCCGGTGCAATGAGCCCTCGCTGCAGACAGGGCTACAGGTGCCCATAACGATCCTCTTACCACCATGTGGGAAAGAATCACTCGAGCTAACTCTTGCAATGAGCAGTGTCATCTCTTTCATCCTTCCAAGAGCTTCTATTTTAATTTCATTCATATCTTTGTTTTACTGCCAGAATACTGAGGCCCGGGGACTTCAGTGAACTTGCCGTGGTCATCCAGCCAGGAAGTAGCAGAGCCGGACTCACTTGCCCTGCCCTAGAGCCAGGACTCTTAACCAGGATGCTGATGGGACATGCCCAACATAGGCAATGGCTGTGTGGTCTGGAGATGTCCCAGGTGAGCCTGAGACAGGTTCAGGAGGAAGCCCATGATAACTGATGTATTCGTTTCCGAGGGCCGCTGTAACTAAGTACCACAAACTGGTGGCTTAAAACCACAGAAACTACTGTCTCACAGTTCTGTGGCTAGAAGACGGAGAGTAAGGTGTTTGTAGGGCCCTGTTCCCTCTGAAGCCTGAAGGGGAGAGTCTGCCTCTCTTGTCCTCACTTCTGGTGGTCCCCGGCAATCCTTGGCTTGAAGTTCAATATGACCTCATCTTAACTAATTACATCCCAAAGGCTCTATTTCCACATAAGGTCACAGTCTGAGGAACTAAGCACTAGGACTTTCACATAGCTTTAGGGGTTGAACACAATTCACCTCCTGGCATACTCCTCCAGTTCTTTTTTAACCTTCAAACCCGTAGCTTGAGCTGAGAAGTGAGAACCTTGCCCAGTCACAGAGCTAATAAGTGGTAGGAACGGGTCTCCACTGCAAAGCCAGTGCTCACCCTGCTCTGCCAGGCCCTGCCAGGAACTGGCGTAAATGCCAACAGTCATTGAGGGTGAGTCTCTTCAGAAAGACACAGTAACGCTGCTTTGTATTTACATGCAGGGGACTAGAGATTATAGAACACTTGTGCCCCCAAAGCAAAAGAAAGGAGGACAGAGGGTTGTGGCTGTCATCACTTCCGAACCGAAAGGCTACCTCTTGAAAGAAATGTAGGAAGTAGTGAAACCATAGAGGTCAAAAAAAAATTTTTTTTTCCTCGGGGGCTGTATTGTGCTATTTATCGGGTCAAAGGAAAGTAGCTCTTTGCTGGAGATGCCTTGCTTTTGTCAAGCAGTGTGCTTGTTCCAGAGCTAGGGGCGGGCTGCGGGCGCTGGAGTAAGGCCTTCTTCGGAAGGCAGGCAGCGGGAAGGCTCTCTGCCGTGAGGTCTTTCATCACTGTGAGGTTCCATTCGGCCAGTTCTCACGCTCATTACCGGTAAATGCAGGGCTCCCAGGATTATGCAAAAGTTTACCCCCAGGATGGACTGTGTTACCAGGACACCCAGGATTCCTGAAAGAATGTGTAATTGTTTCTGGCACGAGGGAGCGAGGAAGCGTGAATGTCTGTCTCTGGGTTGCCTGA